TATATAAAAACACAGGGCTTTACACAAGGTAAGCACTTAATAAATCTTTTCCTTCTTTCCATCTTATCTTGCTTCCTTCCTTCTTTCATAGCCTCCTTCACACACCACCTTCTACACCAAGGCTTTCCTGATCCCCTCCCCCAACTGCAGGGCTCTCCCTCCGTAACTACCTTTTAGTTTGTATTTACCCTGTACATACTTACCTAGGTGCCATTTGTCTCCCTGATAGAATGTAAGCTCCTTGAGGGCAGGGGTTAATTTTGTTGTTGTTGCTACATTCATAGGCCTACTAGACAATAACTGCTTATTGATTGATTGACAAGAAGAGGGGAACATGTACCACGTGAGTTTCTCCCCTGTAAAACAAAGTAGTTGGATTAGATGTGCTCTGAGGGAGAAGGCCCCCCTGCTAGCCCTGGCTTTGAGATTGTACATGACTCCATTAATATTGATGTGTTCTCCCGTTATTTTCATAGGCTCAATCCTATTTATAGAGAGAGCTAAGTGCCACAATGGATAGAGCACCGGGCCTAGAGTATGACCCTGGGCAAGTCATTTAACCTCTTCCTGCCTCAGTTTGCTCAACTGTAAAATAAAGGTAAGAATAGCACTCACCTCCCAACATTGAGGATCAAATGAGAGCACACAGTAGGAGAATATGGAACCACTTCCTTCTTTCTTTGCTTCCTTCTTTCTTTCCTCCTTCCTTCCTCCCAAGGGTACATAGCTGGTAGAAGGAATCCAAATCTTCTCACCAGTAGTTCCTGTTGCTTCTGAGAATTAATGGGGATATGGAGAAGGTGATTAGAGAAATCAAAGACTTTGGTAAGAAAGGTTGCTGTGTGGGGTGGAAGAAATAACACTAGATTTGAAGTGGATGACCTGGGTTTGAATCTCACCTCTACCACTTATGGCTTATGTGACATGGGGCAAGTCACTTCTCCTAACGGGGCCTCAGTTTCCTCCTCTGTAAACTGAAGAGATTGAATTACATAATCTCTAAGATCTCTTCTTCTGCATCCTATTATCGTATAGGATGATGGTCCCATGGGATCTTATGTTGCCTACAATCACAGCCTACAGAAGCATAACTCCTACTTAGCAGCTCACTTACCATTTGCAATGATTTTCCTGTTTTGCTAGTTACTTCCCTTTCTCTAAAGGCGGTCCCTTCTTTGCTCCCAAATCATAAGAATTTCTCCCATGCCTTGCTGTGCTGGTTTCACTTGGGGCTCCCGGAATTTCTCCTCTTTCTCTTACAGGCCAGAGAAGGATACGAGTTTAGGGCTTACTCCTGGACTGATGCCTCTGTACTTAATCCGCGTTAACTGGTTGTCAAGTTGGCTCAGGAGAAGAATTGAGAACCTGCATCTCTTTTCCCTCTGTGCAGAGATGGGGAGCTACAGGTGTGGAACATTATGTTTATTGTCGGATGCAAATGACTTATTGTGTGGTTTGGCTAAGCTATTTCCTTTTTCTCTTACACTGCTACAAGGAAGGTCAGTCAGTCAATGAGCAGTTATTAGGTACCTACTATGTGTTAGGTACTGAGCTAAGCCCTAGGGATAAAGATAGGTAAAAGACAGTCCCTGTTGCCAAGGAGCTCCAATGTGATGAACTTTGTGGGAATGACTGTCTGGGAAGGGGAGGAAGGAGCAATATATTGAACATGATATAAAAACAAAAGATATAGATAAAATAAGATTTTAGAAAATAGTAGTTGGTTGTTAGATGTCAGATGGACACCCAAACATCTGTGGCTGTGGACGCAGCAGCAAATTAATGTGCCCTGACCAAACTCATAATTGGCCTTCTTTCTTTGGGGCTGGCCTGTCCCATAACCAAGGGACTGGGTCAGCAACCTATACCTGGCATGGTGCTCAGGCCTACATGCTCTTCTAGGCAAGGAAGACCAATACTCAGAGGTGGTGTTGTTTGGAGGAAAGAACCCCTCGATGTGAAAATTAGGAAGGCCTGGATTTGTTGAAATTCTGGCTCTGAACCTGGGGCTCTGATACTTGCTCATCAGTAACAGCATGAATTTGACATCAGAGAACTTGAGCTCATTTTCCTACCTATGTCACCTACATAGTAGGTATTTAATAAATGTTTATTGAATGACTGACTGGTCGTTGTCCCTATCTGTGCCTCAGTTTCCTCATCTGTAAAATGGGGAGGGGGGCACTGGAGGACCTCTAAGGGCTCTTCCATTTTAACGATTCTACTTCTACATCTAGCTCACAGAACTAAAGTGTGCTTCCCCTCCTCCACCATTTTAAGTTTGTATGGCTCTCTCTCTCTCTCTTTTTTTAACTATCACCTTCCTTTCCCAATACATCTTTCCCCTTAACCTTTAAAACATAGAAGAAAAAGAGAAAAAGGAAAAAGTGTGGTCACACATCAACTAGGTCTGAAAGTATTTTGTAAACCTCAGTGTGCCATATGCTGCTGGGCTTGGAGTCAGGAAGACTCATCTTCCCCAGTTCAAATCAGGCCCCAGACACTTTTACTAGCTGTCTGACCCTGGATAAGTTACTGTTTGCCTCAGTTTCCTTATCTGTAAAATGAACTGGAGAAGGAAATGGCAAACCACTCCAGTATCTTTGCCAAGAAAAACCCCAAAGGGGTCATGAAGAGTGGGAAACAACTGATTATTATTATTATTATTACTACTATTATTATTCAGGGTTGTCCCTTGCTTAGCAAGTATGTACTCTGTGTCTTCCAACAGCACCTCTGTCCCTCAGCCAGGGTGTGCATACAACACAGCCTCAAGTTTCCCAGCTTTTATAGGGGCAGGAAAGCAAATTCAGTAAGTATTGATTAAATGCCTATTTAGTGTGCCAGGAACTGTGCTAATACTCCCCGGATAGAGTGACAAACACTTGAAGGCTTCCAAGTGACCTACTTACTGCTAGTACCTTACTTTTCTGCCCTGAGGAGGTCTTAGCCTTCTCCAAACAAGAGAATTAGTAACTGGAGAGCAGGCACATTCAAAGGCTTTAGGCTATGGGTGAGGAACCTTCAGCCTTGAGCCCACCTGTGGCCTCCTTTTCTTAAGGGGATTTGTTCTGTGAAGTTTGGATTCCGTCAAAGGGTCGAACTTGAGGACCTAGAGGGCCACACGTGGCCTCAAGGCTGAAGGTTCCCCACCCATGCCTTAGGCTGCACATTAAGAGCAGTAGGTCTGGAGTTAAGGATCTGGGTCCTAAAGTTGGCTTCGAAATTTACTTGCTGTTTGTCCTTCGTTCTGGAAGAGGACCATGACATCAGGGAGGCGATGCAGTGCAAGTGCACTGGATTTAAGTGAGGGAGGGCTGTGCAAAGTCACCAGCCTCACTTTCTCCTCCAGAGCCATCTGGGTCTACACTTACCTGTGTGGCCTTGGAGAAATCACTTTTCATCTTGGGTTCTCACTTTCTTCACTTGTAAGAGGGTTCTATTAGAAAACTTCTAACAAGATGCCTCTCACCTTTGATCCCAAAAGAGGGTAGGAAGAGCTAAGCCAGGACTGGGAGGTTGTAACCACATTGTAGTTGGCCTTAAATTGGAGTCAGGAGTCTAAACTTTAATGTGGAGGCAGTAGGGAGCCACTGAAGGATTTTGAATGAATGAAGCATTGATCGAATGCTTACTATGTGCAAAACACTGGGGAGCTCACATTCTAATGGGGGAGACAACCCATGTGGAAGGTTTCAGCCGAAATCCAAATGGAAAAATCCCACTGTCTTTAGAGTGCAGCGCTCGAGGATAATGCCTCTGGTTTTAAGTCGTTTCCATTGATCAAATCAGATCGTTTTCTGGAGGGCTTTGGTGACAAAGTATCTTTGAGAACAGTAATAATAATAGCCTTGTAGTGGGAGATATATGTGTACATGTGTGTATGTATGTATACATATGAGTATATTATATATGTGTACATTCGTGTAATAGATGGACATATGAGTATATGTATATTGTATTGTGGGCATCTAGCTGGTGAAGTGGATAGAGTGTGTCAGGCCTGGAGTCAGGAAGACCTGAGGTGGGATCTAGCCTCAGACACTTACTAGCTGTGTGACCCTGGGCAAGTCACTTAACCTCAGTTTCCTCATCTATAAAATGAGCTGGAAAAGGAAATGGCAAACCACCCCAGTGTCTTTACCAATAAATCTCCAAATGAGGTCACAGAATAGTCCAACAAGACTGAAAAAACGACAGAACAACCACATTGTATTATGTATATGTATTTCATCTATCCACTTTCCTTTGATCCTTACCACCCTGGGAGGTAGGTGCTACTTTTAACTCCATTTTGCAGATGAGAAAACTGAGGCAGATAAGTTAAGTTAGGGTCACTCGGCTAGTTAATAGCTGAGGCAGGATTTGAACTGGTCTTCCTGACTCCAGCACTCTAGGCACTACTAACAGAACGAGTGACCTGATCATAGTTGAAAGGCCAGGTAAAGTATTCCAATAAGTGAAGAGAAGCATGAGGGGACATTCTTGCACCAGGTACAGCACAAAGATACTTCGGAGCCGCCCAGGTCCCTGGCACAGGGCCCAGATTACGTGGCATTGTAGCGTGCATGGGATGCATATGAGATAAGGCTGGAAGGGTGGTGCATGGCCACATTGTGGAGACCCTTGAACGTTCTCAAGAACTTTACTCAGGAGGTAATAGGGATCCACTGAAGATTTTAGGACAGAAGAGGGACATGACCAGTTCGGTGTACTCGGATGTTAGAGGCTCCTCTTGCATTTCAGTGTGCATACTTTTTGTAGACGGATGCATCAAATGCGCGCACAGATACTTTCCCGCCAGGGCTCCCCTAGCAACCTCAGCGCTCTCCCTCCCAGATTTAGGGTGGGGCGCAATCCGCCGGGGAAAACAGCTGGTGCCCAGGGCTGTGAGGGTTACGCGGCGCTCGGCTCGCTCCTCCCACCCGGCCCCGCCAGCCTACCTCAGTAAGGGGGAGGTGCGCAGAGGGCGAGGGCGCACGGCGGCCGTACGGCTAGGGCGCAGAGCGGACGCATCCCTAGCGCCCCCGCGGGAGAGCCTGACACAGCGGCGGGGAAGGTGACCGGGCCACGGGGCGGGGCCGGAGGCGGGGCCCCATGGCGCAGTACGACCATGGCCGGCGTGGTGGCGGGGCTGCGGACCGTGGGGAGCTGTGCCGCGGTGAGAGGCGCCGGAGCTGGACGGCTTACCAGCCGTCTTCAGTCCCCCCATCCCCACTCCGGCTGGCCTCGACCCCTTCCCAAGAACCTTCCTTCCCTCCCCCAGCTCCTAAGCCTGTCCTTGGGTCCTCCCTCCTCTCCTGTCTCCCCAGCTCCCCTTCTTTCCCCGATTCCTTCCCTCCCCCAGCTCCTGAACCTGTCCTTGGGTCCTCCTTCCTCTCCTGTCTCCCCAGCTCCCCTTCTTTCCCCGATTCCTTCCCTCCCTCAGCTCCTGAACCTGTCCTTGGGTCCTCCTTCCTCTCCTGTCTCCCCAGCTCCCCTTCTTTCCCCGATTCCTTCCCTCCCCCAGCTCCTGAACCTGTCCTTGGGTCCTCTCTCCTCCTCTTTCTCCCCAGCTCCCCGATTCCTTCCCTCCCCGGGTTCTCCGGTCCTTCCCTCCTTTAATCTCCTCCCTCCCTCCCTTCTGATGCCTTTTCTCCTTCTCCACTAGTCACCTTTCTCCCTTATCCCTTAAACTCCTTGCCTCCCCTAGTCTTTTCTCCCCGTGGTCCCTTTTCCTAAGTTTTTCTCCCAATTCTCCTCCAACCTTCTCTTCTTTATGCTTCCCTTCGGGGCCCTCTTTATCCTCCTACACCCTGCCCCACCCCCCATTCCCCTTTGCCCCAATTTCTCAACTGTAAAACTGCAAAAAAAAAAAATGGATTGAAGGGTGTCTGAGGTCCCTTCCACCACTCTGCAACCTTTAATCCTTCTTCCTCAGCCTCGGGGATAACAGCTGAAAGACCGATACATTTGGAATCAATAGAGTTGAAATCCTGGGGCTGCTCTTTACTACCTGTCTGACCTTGGGCAAGTCACCCTACTTCTCTGGGCCTTCATTTTCTCATCTGTAAAATGAAAGAGGGCTGGACTAGAAGGTCTTTAAAAAAGCCCTGCACTCCCTGGTTCTCCCCCTGTTTCTTCTGTTCCCTCTGCCTTCCATTCCTGAATTCTCTTGGGTCTTCTCAGATGATGGTGGTTTAGTCATTTTCTGTAGTACCTGCCTCTTTGTGACCCATTTTGAGGGTTTTCTTGGCAAAGTTACTGGGGTGATTTGCCGTTTCCTCCGCTAGCTCATTTTACAGATGAGGAAACTAAGGCAAACAGTGACTTGCCCAGGGTCACACAGTTAGGAAGTGTCACATTTGAACTCAGGTCCTCCTGACTCCAGGCCCAGGACTCTATCCATTTCACTACCTAGCTGCCCTAGGTCTTCTCATCATTCTATAGATTCTATTCCCTTCATCCTTTTGTTTACTCTCTTCTTGTCTCTCATTTCCACTTCCCTCAGTTTCTTTCTTTCCCCTTTGCCTCTTCCTTCCTTTCCTCAACCTTGGGAAGTGAATTAAAATAATTACGGTGGAGGAACAAGTTTCCCCTCTATTACCTTAAAGCTCCAGGATCAACTTTTAAAAACTTATTTTGTTTTTCCCTCTTCTCTTTTTCCACTGTTTCTGTCCCCATCCCTCACACCAGAGTGCAGAGCTGAGGTGGAACCAGATCAGGTTGTTTTCCTCTTGGCTGGTAAGTAAATACTCACATGCATTGAAGTAGCTTGTAATAATGGCTAGAATCCTGAATTTAGAATCAGGATGCTTTCCCCATCTGTAAAATGGGCATAGTAATAATATCTAGCTTAAAGGGTTGCTGTGATGATATATGTGTGTACATATATATATGTATATGTGTGAGAGTATGTGTGTGTGTGTATGTATATATATATATATATACACACACACATACATACATACATATATGTGTGTGTGTATGTGTATATATATATATATATATATATATATATATATATATATATACACACACATACATACATACATATAGAAAGCCTACCTTAAAGCCCTGTATCGGGTTCTTATCCTTTTTTGTGGGCATCATGAATCCCTTTCACAGGTTGGTGAAGCCTAGGCACCCCTTCTCAGAATAATGTTTTTAAATGTATACAATACACAGGAATAGAAAGGAAGCCAATTATATTTAAGTAGTTCTCAAACTATTTAAACTATTTAAAAAACAAGTTCATTATGCCCCAAGGGCTATAAAACTGTGCATACCTTTTGACCCAGCAATACCACTTCTAGATCTGTATCCCAAAGAGATCAAAAGAAAAAGGGAAAGGACCCACATGTACAAAATTATTTATAGCAGCTTTTTGTGGTGGCAAAGAATTGGAAATTGAGGGGATGCCCATCAACTGGGGAATGGCTGAACACGTTGTGGTATGTGATTGTGATGGAATACTGTTGTGCTGTAAGACTATGCTATAAAACCATGACAAGTGGGATGGTATCACAAAAATCTGGGAAGACTTACATGAATGGATGCAAAGTGAAGTGAGCAGAACCAGGAAAATGTTATACATAGGAACAGCAATATTGTAGCAGTGATTATCTGTGAATGATTTAGCTCTTCTCAGCAATACTATGATCTAAGACAATTCCAAACGACTCATGGGGAAACTCATTCCTCCACCCTAAATGCTATCCCCCTCCAGAGAAAGAACTGATGGGAGTCTGAATGCAGATCAAAGCATACTTTTAAAAATTTTATTCTTCTTGTGGGTTGCTTTTTTTTTGGTTTGTTTTGCTTTTGTATTTTTGGTCTGTTTTCTTTTGAAACACGGCTAATATGGAAATGTTTTACATGACTGCACGTGTATAGTGTATATCAAATTGCTTGCCTTCTCAAAGAGAGGGGAAGAAAAGGAAGGAAGGAGAGAATTTGGAACTCAAAATTAAATGTTAAAATTTGTTTTTACATGTAATTGGGAAAAAATAAAATATAAAAATTTAGGAAAAAAACAAAAAAGCAAGTTCATGGACCCTCGGTGCACACTTTGTACAATGACCACACTGTAAAAACATGTTACCTGCCTCCTGACAGGGATGATGGACTAATATGCAAAATGAGATATACATCTTTAGACGCGGCCAACATGGGAATTTGTTTTGCTTAATTATACATACATACATAAGGCTTTTTTCCCTTCAGTGAGAAAATGAGTTGGAAAGGAGAAAAATAAATTTTTAGAGGGGTGGGATAGGGATGGCTATTATGGAAGTGTTTTGTATGAGTATACATGTATAACCTGTATTGAGTTGCTTGCCTTCTCAATGAGGGTGGGTGGGGAGGAAGGAAGGTAGAGAATTTGGAACTCAAAGTTTTAAAAACAAATGTTAAAAATTGTTTTTACATGCAACTGGGAAATAAGATATACAGGCAATGGGGTATAGAGATCTATCCTGCCCTAAGGAAAATAGAAGGGGAAGGGGATAAGAGAAGGAAAGGATGATAGAAGGGAGGGCAGATCAAGGGAAGGGGTATTCAGAATGCTTGACGTTTTGGGGTGGGGGGAGGGGAGAGATGGGGAGAAAATTTGGAACTCAAAATCTTGTGGAAGTAAATCTTGAAAATTAAAAATAAATAAATAAAAATTTTTTAAAAGTACTTGACGTCAGAAGACCTGGTATCAAACTCGAAGTCTGTGATTTATTAACTATGTAACTTTGAGTAAGCCACTTCAGGGCTTAGTTTCTTCATCTGTAAAATGAGGAGCTTAGGATATATGACTTCTAAGGGCCCTTCTGGTGCTGAATCTATTTCCTAATAACTTTTTCCGTACATCTGAATTATAATTAATTCAACAAACATTTATTAAACATTTATTATATTTATTAAAAAATAAATTTTTAAAAAATTAAATAAATTGAAAGAAGAGGGAAAAGCCCTACTTTGTATAAAGATTATTAAACTTATCCCTCTCATCTTTATCCATAGAGCAAATGGTTTCCAAGAAAGAAGCCTGTGATTGCTCAGAAAAAGCCCATCAAGGTATTCCTGAAGGCAGGGAAAACGTATAAATGGTGTGTGTGTGGCCGAAGTAAGAACCAGGTAGGACTCTCTATAAAAGTGGGTATTGGGTGGGGAGCATCTCTGGCATCCTCTGGGCTCCCCCCCCCCCAGTCTGCCCTCTCTTCCCGGTGGCTCCAAGAGACTCTTCCACCCTCTCTACCCCAGTAAAATCTTTCTGAAAGTGGGGTGGGGGGAGACAGGTACAGCTTTTAAGTCATTCCTAAGCTTATCTCATTTTTGTTGGGACTTAACCTTCCTAATCTTCCCCCTTTCTTATCAATTCATTTCCCCCTCCCCACCTTTGAAAACAGATTCAGTATTCCCAAGAAGCCATCTCCAGTCTACTTCCTCTGACTTGACTGGGTAGCTCCTTGACTCTGTCTTCCTTATCAGACTGGGGGCTCTCTGAGGACAGGTTTCAGTCTGGCTCTGTAGCTCCCTCCCCAGCCCAGCTCAGCATCCAGCACAGGGACCTGAAAGGCACCAGCCCTGAGTAGTTGTGTTTACAGCCTTTGTTTCTCCTATAGCCCTACTGTGATGGCTCCCACTTCTTTCAGCGAACGGGCCTGTTCCCCCTCAGGTTCAAAGTTGAAGAAGACCGTTCAGCTTTTCTTTGCAGCTGCAAGGCAACCTTGAAGCCCCCATATTGTGATGGCACTCACAAGAATGAACGAATACAGAATGCCCAAGAGGGTTCTCCACTCTGACCAGCATACCACACCAAAGGCATTGGGTTTGGGTTGGCAGCATCTCCTTTGATATGGGGACCTCCCTTCTGGGCACCTTAGAGGACTTGGCTACCATCCCACCAGGAGATCCTCCCAAGACCCTTGTATTCCTCCACACCTGGGTCTAGATTGAGCCTGTATCTTCTCCGTGGGTAGGAGGCTTTTGGTGTCATTCTGGATTTGATCTCTTGACCTTCTGGTCAGAGTATAAGGATCCATGGTCCCCTCCACCCTCAGAACCCAGGAGTATGTATTCATCCCCATCTGGCACCATTAAATATATCTAGTAATGCATTTTCTCAAGTGTTGCTTTTTCTTAATTTTCATTAATGTGAAAGGAGGGAAGATCCAGTTCCAGGATTGGTGGCCTGACACATTTCTCTCTCCCTTGTTTGAGGTTTTCCTAACATTAGATGTCAGCTGCACACCTAACCCCCTCATTTGACATGTGAGGAAACTGAGGTTTATAGAATGTATTCTCCTTGAGGGACCTTTGTTTGTATCACCAATATTTATCACTGCCAGGCACACAGGAACAAGCTTGTTGACGAAGGCTTGAAGACTTGCGTTTACCACTCCTAGTGGTAAAGCTGGCTTTAGTTTTACTGGGTAGTATGGGTCTTCTGTTTCCCAAGTCATTTTTTTTATACCCCATCCAAATGTATCTCCACCTGCCTCTGCCTCTTCTTCACTTGGCTTTGGAAGCTACATGTATGCTCCTTATGAATAAGGAATTTTACCTTCATTCAACTTGTATCCCCAGTGCTTAGCATAGTGCCTGGCACAGAGTAGGTGTTTAATAAATGCTTATTGATTGGGCTATAAAAATGCACTTGGTCAATGTAAATGTAAAGTGCTTTGAAAACTTAAGTACTATATTTTATTAATATATATTATATTAAATACTAATACTGGCAGTGATGTTACTAAATATAATAATGGTTTCAAGGTTCTCTAGCCCTATCCCCTTTTCCCCCTGCCTGTCAAAAACACCTCCCCCCAACACCCTATGCTTAGGAAAAATCTTTACAGACAGGGAAATTGCCAATTCTAGAATTAAAATCCTGAATTGTGGGTCTAGGGAATTGAAGCAGAAAAAAACCCCAAAGTACTAGGCATTCAGTGCGGCCATTGTGTGGCATAGTAGATAGAGAATTAGCCCAGGGAGTGAGGATAAGCTAGATTCAGCTTCTGTTTCTAACAAATGCAAGGTGTCCCAAAAGTTTTAGTGCACTAAGGCTTTTGGGGCGTTCTCTATTAGCTGTATGACTCTGACTTAAGTCACTTAATCTCTCTAGGCTTCAGTATCCTCTTCTCTAAAATGGGAGTGACAATACCTGTAGTACCTACCTCTCAGCGCTCTAGTGAGGCTAGGCTGAGGTCATTGAGAAGCAGCCTGGAGCGAGTCAGGAAGACTTAGTTTCACATCCCTGTTAGCTAAGCTACCCACTAGCTGTATGATCCTAGGTAAGTCCTGTTACCTCTCTGGGCCTCAGATGCCTCATCTGTAAAATGAGGTCAGACTAGATGAACTTTGAGGTCCCTTCCAGCTCTTAATCTATGAGCATAGAATGCTTTGCAAACCTTCAAAGGTTTTTTTTTTTAATGAATTCTCTGGAGCTTCCATGGGGGAATAGGGATGGCAACCCTTTCTTGACTTTTGGGGGGTAGGAGTAGTGTCACACTGAGGTCATGGAATGGGCTGAGGGTTAAAAGGATCCTGTTTAACAATGGACTCCCCATCATATGCCACCCCCAAACCCCCAAAAAGAAAAGCACTCACAAACCCACGGAGAATCTGCAGCATTTATTACAAAGCTGATTAGTTGTACAAACGCCAAGGCAGGGGGAGGGAGGGGACACACACAGATCACAGGACCCGAAGCAAGGACAGGATGCACACAGACAAAGCCGTTTGGTTGATTGTACCCCTACAGAAGAGTCAGGGAGTGGTGCCCTGCCTCCTTACCCCATCCCACCTTCTCACTATTTACACTAGAGGAGTGACAGGGCCAAGCTGGGATTGCTTGAGGAGGAGCAAAGATCGGAGGAGGAGCCCGACCCAGCCCTGTAACAAAGTAATTCAGCCTTCCACCAGATGGGGCTAACCCTAACCCACCCCACCCCAAACCAAGGTTGTCTGTTCAATCTGCAGGCAACAGTCTTGGGGAAAGAGGGACCCTGGTAATCCTACCTTTGTCTTGTGCTTTGAGATCCCCCTTTACATCTGTCCTAAACTTGGGGCCCCTGGGTGAGGGGAAATGGAGGGGGGGGGCTGCTGACCCTCCTAGGGACTTTTCCCAAGTCTGGGGTCAGTGTGCTTGTGTGAGGTTCAAATGTCCTCTCCCCACAAAGTCCCAAACGTGGACTTCACTTGTGGCCTCAGTTAACCCCCCGGCAAAAGGGGAATGGGGGGGCGGGGAGGGGAAGAGTGTCCACACTGGGAAAGCTTCCAAGTGGGTTCAGGAGCTTTTGATGTCTCCTTTCCCCCTCCCCCCTCAAGTTCTCTCCTTCAGCAAGATTAATGCCAAAAAGGGCACAAACAAAAGGAAAAAAAATCTAATCTATCCACAGAAGCTACAAGGCTGGGGGAAGGGGGGAAGAGGAGAGGTGGGGAACTACTGCCACCCAAGCCTCCAGATCTCCCCCCTCAGAACTGAAGGACAAACCGCATTTGCAAAAGGCACTGTCTGAGAAATGCTCCCTACGTTAAGCACGGGGGTGGGGGGGAGCAGTGAAGGAAGGATGAGTGGAGAAGAGAGCTCTCCCCACCTTCGTCCCCACCCCCTCCTCCCCTTTATGATCACACCCCATCTCCAAAAGCTGCCTCTAAGACTCCATGAAGGTAGCTTCTGCTGCCCTGGCTGTGCTGTCCTCACAGGACCTGGGGCTACCTAAAGCTCTGGGGTCCTGGAGGAGGGGAACCCCAGACGGAACAGAGGCAATCAGATCCATAAGAGGAGAGGGGAGAGCAGGAAGATGGGGCAGACCCGGCCCCACAGACTCTACTTCCCTTCCCCTTCCCACCTAAATGTTTAATCCAAAAGGGGAAGGAGCTACAGTAAATCATGCAGTTCCCTTAAAAATGAATGAAGAAAACCCAAACACACATAATTCACACCCGTACCTGCACACACATACATGTAAGGTCTCTGTTTCCTGCAGCTTTTAAATTAATCTGGCTAGTCCATAGAAAATAAGTATGTATATTTGGTTTTCCTATGTACATATATATATATATATATAGATAGATTTATTTATAAAACCCAACCCCCTCCTCTGGCCCCTCATAGTGGGGTAGAAGGAGCTTGAATCAAGGAGGGAAGAGAGAAAGTCAAGAAAAAGGGGGAGGGGCAGAGGAGTGAGGCTGCACAAATAGTAGGGAGGAAAGCCCTAGTTCTCAAGTTAAGGGGGGCACTGGGGTACCATTGATAGTCATCTTGCGCCCCCTGCTGGTAGGTGGCGGTGTCTGCAGGCAGTTCGAGGTGCTGCCATTGGTGGTGGTGCCCCCCGGTGCAGATGTGGAGCTGGGGGAGGCTGGGTGGGTAGTGGTAGGCCCATGGGAGCTAGGAGAGCCATGGGAAGGAGTCGCAGGGCTGGGCAGGGAGGAGGAGGTGGCAGGCAGGGTGGCGGGGCTGGGGGCCTTGTCGCTGACCGACTCGCACTCCGATGCCCCGCTGGTGTTGGTGCCTTCTGAAGGAGCCGGTACAGTAGGCAGCGGGAGCCGCTTACAGGCCGGCTGGACTCGGTACTTGAGGGGGAGAGGGCCATTCTGCAGCGGGGAGGGAGAGGAGCCAGGAGAGAGAAAGGGAAGGAAAGGCAGGGTCAGGGGCAAAAGACCCTCCTGCCCTACATGCCTCACCCCAAAAACATCACATCAGCATCAAGAGAAGGCAGAAGGGGAGATGAGGACAAAGACAGGAGGGAAACCAGCAAAAACAGCCAAAGATAGAAACAGACACTGAGACGCCAGAAAGTTAAAGAAAAAAGGAATGAGGATGAAAGAAAGAACTCAGTTCTGGTTGAGTGAATTACCCCAGCCCTGCCTGCCCCCACTCCCCCATCTCCCTACTCCCTTCTGGCTATCCCTAATGCTCACCCGTCTCCAAGGGTAAATGTAGGCAATGTCCATGAGTGTATAATACTCCTTCAGAGGTTCATCCTCATACAGCACCTCCACCTGGGGAAACACCCATCCCAGGATAGGGAGGGAGGGGAAAAAACAGAGGATGGACATCATGACTTGCCCAAGAAGACAGAGCTTTGCTCAAAGGGGTCTTCCTAAGCCTACCAGGCTTCCCCTGTGTAGAAAGGAGCGAACAGGTATCTGAGAATTCTCATCTGAGCTGGAAAGGACCTCAGGGGTCATCTAGAGCAACCAATATTTATAGAGGAATCCTCTCTTTAATGTTTCCAACAAACAGTCATCCAGCCCACGGATGGGGGAGTTCACTACCTTCTAAGACCACTTATTCCAGTTCTTAAAAGTATTTCTAATTGTTACAAATGAAAAAGCATTTTAAAAATTTTTAATATTTCCCCCAATTATATGTTAAAATAATCTTTAACATTTTTTTTTAAGTTTTGAGTTCCAAATTCTATTCTTCCTTCCTTCCCTAAAATAATAAGCAATCTGACACAGGTTATATAGCCCATGTGACTTTTAATGTTTCTTAAATGGAAACAAAATTTGCCTCTTTGTCATCATTCCTAGTTTGGCTGTCCAGGGGCACAAGAAGAATAAATGTAATCCTTCTTCCACAAGGACAGTCCTTTCAATACTTAAAGACAGCTATAAATGCCCCAGCCTTCCCAGACATCCATCTCTAGATTAAATAACACCCCTAGATTCCTTCAAATAATTTCCATTTGTCAGTTTCGAGTCTATTCATTAGAATGTGAGCTCCTGGAGTGCAAGGCCCATTTTGCCTTTTTTCTATCTGTCTCCCTACCACTTAGCACAGAGCTTTGCATGTAGTATGTACTTAATGCTTCACTCTTTCATTCATTCACCATCGTGGCCACCATCTTCTACACAGGCCCCAGCTTGTCATGTTCTTCCCAGATTGTGGCGCCCAGAACTGAACACTCCAGATTTGGTCTGACCAGGGCGGAGGGACATT